AAAACTACAAACAAGTTGATATCAGTGCCATTTATTAGAGCAAAAGTTCATCTAAACCTGCCCTAATTGGGGAGTTTGTCACATTTTTCCTCGATTATCTGTTCTCTATAAATCATGTAGTATAAAACACCGCGAGTTCCAACAAAAACGCTTCAAGTTCCTTTTCCTTGAAGATGCTTCCTGCGTAGTCTAGAGCTGATTTGACGCAGGAAATCAATGAGTCAAAAAGCAGAAAATTAATGCCGACAATGACCAACCAATTGTCTTTAAATGAAATAAATGAAATATATCCAGTCTAATTGAAACAAGTAAACTGGACATGTGCCGACTTAAACACGCTCACGTTTTCTGGTTTCTGCATGCGTGATTACTGATACGAGTGTTATCAATTTTTGAGCGTGTTATTTATGCCACTTGACTCTGATGAGCTCATCAAAGAACAATTCGCACAGAATTGCTGAATAAACTACTCAAAATCAAAGCAAACCGATTGATTACCACGTTAAAAGATTCGGAGAAAAACGCACCCAAAAAGCTGGGAAATTCAGACGCAATTGTTCATTGAGGGGTAACAAAAGTGTGCTCAAAGGATTACCGAATAGAGTCATTAGGCTGACGCATTTCCAAATCGGATAAAAATGGAATAATCTCGTTAAGCGCGTGTAATTGACGAGGATGACAAGTGATATGACAAATAATTACATGCATACCTGCACGACTAAAACAAAAATTATGCTGACACTCTAATAATACCCTGAGCTGGAATATTGTGCAATAGAGGTAACATTGTCCATCAATCACGCCCCACAAGGTAAACCTTTGACATAGTTGCGAGGCAGCGCAAAAAACTCGAAATTTTTGGAGGAAAATTGGAAACATCCGAAACAAAACTCACTTGCCAAATGACCATTTTAATTTTAGCCCGTTTGTAGGCACTTTTCCAATTCAATTGCCGACTGTAAGTCAGTTCAATGCGTTTATTGTATTAGAATTTTGTTGACGATCAGATTTGGAAAATGCAGCCTACAGAGGTCCAGAGCTGTTCCAGCATTCTGAAATATGTTGATGATATTTCCAGCCCAATTATTTACCCGCTAAAACTGTTTCCTCATCGGCGAACAATGCGATCATTTTTCCTCTTGTTTTGGTTCTTTCCCCCCTTTGGTTCGACCTCTTAAGGTCTTTGGTTGGACTTCATAACGTTCCAGTAACCTTCGCCTTTCTTATGTAGGAGTGTTTCATCCTCTCATTTAGTCTCGATCGTGTCTTCATCTCCATTATAAATGTGTACTTGTAAACCTTCTTGTCCTCATTTTTCGGGCTCTTTTTGCCGACCTTATGCCCTTTCTGATCATTTCGCGCCTTGCATTCACTATCGGGTCTTTATTGTTTCAAAATAATGAACCTTTTTTCTAATTGGTTTTGGAGCATCCACTTCTGGTTGATTCAAACATTTTTAAATTTCTGCCTTTTCTTAAATTTCCAAGCAATTAAAATTAGAAAAATATTTTCACTTTCCCGTCGTTCACCACGGTGATTAAATGCTCCAAAAAAACAACCTCAGATCGTCAGTTTTTTGTTTGAGTTATTTTCACTTTCTGCCCAACCCGATGCACTCATTTGCCTCGCTCTATTTCCGTAAATCGGTTGGCACGAAGCATTTTTTTAGACGTTGGATGAACCGCTTAGTTGCATAAAAATTATCGCGCTAAACGTGTAGACACTCGTGTCTATTTTGAACGAAAGTGAACGATTTGAGCATTCCGTTCCTCATCTAAAGCCGAATTCAGTATGCAAATTATTTTGTTCCCAATTATCATAAGTTGTGGATAAACATTGCATTCATTAATAAACATGATTGAAAATTCGGTTGCACAATACACGTGATCCGAACGTTTTGTTGTTCAATAGATCACGGTTTTGCGCTCCAAGTTTACAATAATCATTATTTCGAGACCGTTTTGAACCTTGCTTTCCTTGATAAACTACGACGTCTGTCTTCTAATGGTGCACAATTTGCTTGAACTCCAAACTAAGTGTTAATTGATTATTGGTTTTAGCGCCTCATTATTAAAAATGTTCAATTTCAAGGGAAAGCACAATGTTTGAAGTTTATTTTTCGACTGTGATTTCTGAATTTACTTCGTCCGAACGTTTCGCAAGTACCAAACGCCGACATCAGAAATCGATAGAGCAAAAGCTTCAGTTTACTTGGGATGCGAATTTGGATTCTTCCGAGTAAACAGTTCTTTCACAATTAATTGTTTAACTTTGCACCGTTTAAGCGCTGTTTTTTGTTTTTGTACCTTGCTCTTCTAAGTGCCATTTCTGAGCAACCAATTGAGACATCGGAATGCCGGCCTTAGTGATCGATAGAGGATGCTTCAGTTTATCTGGGACGCATTTCTGGTTTGATTTGAGCAAATAGTTCATTTATTGTTAATTATTGAACTTTACACGGTTTAAGGGCTGTTTTTTCTTGTTGCACCATGCTCTTCTAAATTTAATTTTCAGAGCAGACTAGTGAGACACCGGAATGCCGATATCAGAAATCGATAGTAGACGCTTCAGTTTACTTGGGGTGCGATTTAAGGTTTATTCGAGTAATCAGTTCTTTCAAAATTATTGTTAAACTTTGCAAGGTTTAAACGCGGTTTTTTGTCTTTGCACCATGATCTTCTTCTAAATGTCATTTTTGAGCAGCCAAATGAGAACTCAGAATGCGGGTATCAGAAATTAAGATAAAGCTTCAAATTACTTGAGATTGAATTTTAGTTCCATTGGAGTACCTACAAGGTTTCTTCGTGATTATTTATTACACTTGACAAGTATTACTCTTCTAAGTGTTATTTCTTCGCACACTATTGAGACATTGGAAATTGTACTGGAATTTGATAGACGAAGCATCAGTTGACTTGGGATGTGATTTTCGTTCCATTTGATTAAACGGTTTTTTTTAAATAAATTGTTAAACTTTACGAAATTTATACGCTTTTTGCCGTTTGCGCACCATGCTTTTCTAAATGTAATTTCTGAGCAACCAATTGAGACATCAGAAAGTGTGTACTAGTAGTCGACAGAGGAAGAGTTTAGGCGACTTAAGTTCTGGTTTTTCTTCCATTCAACTAAATGGTTTCTTCATATATTGTTAAAATTTACGAGGTTCATACGCGATTTTATGTATTTGCACCATGCTCTTCGAAATTTAATTTCTGAGCAGCCAGTTGAGACATCGGAATACGGATAATAACAATCGATAGAGCAAGCTTCAGTTTATTTGGGGTGTAATTTTAGTTCCATTCGAGTGTCAGGTTTCTTCCTGATTGGTTATTAAAATTCACAAAAATTCCGCGCGGTTTTTCGTTTTTGCACCAGGCTCTTCTCAATGCCATTTCTGAGCAAACGATTGCGACATCGGAACGGGTAAAGCAAAAATCGATAGAAGAAGCTTCAGTTTAATTGACGTGTGATTTTTGCTTCATTTCAGTAAATGGTTTATTCATAATTAATTGTTTAACTTTGCGGGATTTAAACGCCGATTTCAGTTAGTGCACCAGGCTTTTCTAAATGGCAATTTCTGAGCAACCAAATGAGACATCAGCAATCAATAGAGAAAGCTTCAGTTTAGTTGGCAGGTGTTTTTTCTTCCATTTAAGTTGAAGGATTCTTCTAAGGTTCTGAAGCTACAAAGAGCGTTAGACTTTCACAAATTGTCCCATTTACTGAAGCGTCTTTAACACTTAGTTTTTTTTTCCAGGCTGGTTCGGGACAAGACACTTCGTCACTTTAATGCTGTCTCTTGGCATGGCCAATGCCTATGTTATGAGGACCAACATGTCCGTAGCTATTGTAGCTATGGTGAACCACACAGCTATTGCCATTGATGACGCCGCCGCAACAGACAATGTAGCTGTGTCTGAATGCGGCGTAACTATTGACAAGAATTCTGTAAGTTTCCTTTTCTCACGTGGTTTCACTTTACTATACCAAGAAGATGTGTGGAAGAGAAATGGGATACAGCGTGCTTCTTTTGCTTCAGTCGTTAACATCACCTGAAGCTGACGGTCAATTCGTGTGGCAAACCGATATACAAGCCTACGTTCTGTCCGCATTTTTCTACGGATACGTTTTGACGCAAATCCCAGCAGGAATTTTGGGCAAAAAATATGGGAATATCCGCTTTTTGGGCATCGGGATGCTGATCAACTCGGTGTTTGGTCTGCTCGTGCCCATTGCGGCCGAAATGGGCCTCGGATGGCTGCTAACTGTGAGATTTATACAAGGATTAGGCGAGGTAAGTACGTTGATTGATGATGGTGCCTTTACGAGTCGATTTTATTTGAATTATTGTAAAGACGCAATCAGATCCTGAAAAGGTGATTGGTGAGGAAAAAGACGCTGCTTTGTCCAGAGAACATTCCAATTGAATTCAACTGCTTTTTTCGTGACAAGGCAGGGTTTTCTTCCTGAAAACGCCGGTTTTTGAATTGTTACTATTCCCGGGCAGGGTCCGATTGTTCCGTGCAGCCACGCTTTACTTGCAAAGTGGATCCCCCCTAACGAGAGGAGCCGCATGGGTTCGTTCGTATACGCAGGTACTATTTACTAGTTGATTTTGAGATATTTTTGCATACACGTATATGGCTATGATCAAAGGCCTTGATTGAAATCAGCAACACCAACGCATTCCCTCACTTTGCATCAAATGCCGGTAATCAGTACATCCGACTGTAGGGCGCACTGATGCGGAATGCAAAATTCTGTCCAACTTTGATGATCATGCCGCATTAAACGTGCTCTTTGATTATAGCCATTTCGAACACATTTCGCTCATTATCTCCTGAGTGAACAAGGCATAATTCCTGCATAGAAGCTCCCAATTACCTTAATTGTTGCATTTCAAACTGATGGTCTGACTTTCAAACGTTTTAAACAACTCATCACACATCAACACAGTCACTTTACATTTGAATTGTTTGTTGATTCTGGAGAAACACTCTTTGTGTTCCGTTGGGTGGATGAACTCACTTACAATAATATAAAGAGTTTGTAAAATATTTGCACGAAATGTTAGCGCACAGATTCCTGCGGAGCAAGCGCGATGATTAAACCTAATTTGTCTCATCGAAAATCGGATGATTTTTTGATGTAAAAGGCACCAAAGTTGAGGGTAAATTGGATTAGAATGTCCAATCAACAGCTAGTATGGAATGGACATGTTGAGCGGATGGACCAAAAGCGAATCCCTAAGCAAGTTCTCAGGTGGAAACCAAGCGAAAAAAGCAGAGATAATGAAGAGGAATGGGAGGATAGAAGAGAATGCAATACACCTGGATATGTTTTCACTCCAGGAATCGGTGGTAGGATTTTGTGCACAATAAACGCTAGTGTGAACAACTGAAAACTCAAGAATTTCCAAGTGTGGCAAAAACCCAACCGTTTCGAAGTCAAACCGTTAAATGCGAAAGAAACAAAGTCTTGGTAATTGGAAGCTGCTACAGGTTTTGCCATTAGGGGGAATGAGAGGGTCTGATAGATCTGGACGTTTCAATTGATTACTTAGTGTCGAAGATAAAAATGGGTGTTTTCCTCCACGTTCTGTTGTTGTTAATCTTATCGCAGGATATTACAAATAAGCACAAACACATAACGAAATCCACACAAATCCCTATTTACATTCGCCCATCTCCGTACACAAAGCATTTATCAGGAAATTCTTATTGGTTGTAACTTAAGAGATTAGGACTTTGTAAATTTGAACTTACTTGAACTGCGCAAGCGATCGATGTTGAACGTTAATAAAACGGTTTATTGTGGGAACACGTATTGATAAGGACGGTTTATTATTTAATTGGTTCACTTGGTAAGACCTGCAGCCTTGCTCTCAAAAACGCATTTTTCCATAGGAAAAACTCTGTGCAAATAATCTCCTAATCTCTGCATCTGAACGCGTTGAAACTAAATTAGCAAATCAGAGGCCTAAAAGTCCAAAAAATCCTTCATTTATTACACTAAGAAGTTTCACAATTACATGATTTTTTTACTTTATGTAACACAAAAATATCAACCACGAGTCTCCTAATTGCCATGTACATTACATTTTTATCTGTATGTTAAAGTTCAAGTTCCCAGATAACTAATGAACGTCAATCGGTTGCATTGCTTACACTGAACTAGTTTGATTTTTGAGGCAATTCAAGAATCTCGCTTTGTGCTGCCAAACTGCCCAAAGCGACCGTTTGGGATTCAAGCGAGCCGCATGCGGCACAACATGTTGTTCTGGTGATTTTGCAAGTCGATAAGTGACTTTGCGCTTTCACGATTACGAATAGTGTTTATTAACGGATCAGTAAACAATTTAATTGCGCTCATCCATCCAATTTCCTGGAGTATTCAAGGGCAACATGACTAATCTAGTATCGAAGGAACATCGTTTTATTTGAAAAATCCTCCAATTCACTTTGAAGAATGAGTGCGCATCTGTTTTTGGGTTCTTCATTATCATTGATAAGCAATAGAGGCGACTTAACTATAGCGAACGCTTTAACTATTCTACTATAGAGACTTGTTTCTATTCACAGGAGCGCAATTGGGTACTGTCATCTCCCTGCCTCTTAGTGGGCTCCTTTCGGTCTCACAATGGGGCTGGCCTGCAATCTTTTACGTTTTTGGAGCTGTTGGCACCGTATGGTGCATCACCTTCCTGATCTTCGTCAAAGAAGATCCCGAATCCCATCTTACCATGGATCCGGTTGAAAGAGAATATATCCAGAAGTCTTTGGGCACTATCGTGGGAAACACTGTAAGCACACTTTATAACGTAATGGCTGTTAAGAGTGTTTAAAACACTGGAACCGTTTGGAAGACTTTTTCAAAGGCGCATGTTTTTCAGTTTGCTGTAAAACAGTATTTTACTTTTCCAGAAGACTCCACCGACTCCATGGCTGGATATAGCAAAGTCCTTACCTTTCTGGGCCATTCTTTTGGCCCATATGGGCTACAATTACGGCTACGAGACCCTGATGACCGAACTGCCCACTTATATGAAGCAAGTTCTCCACTTCAGTATTAAAGATGTAAGTATAATGGACTCGACAAAAATTCGAAAAAATTTTGGAAAGTGCTCAATTTAATGCTCTACCCAGGGGCGGATCCAGTTTTAAATTCAAGGGTCGGGTTATGTAGAAAAAATAGAGTCTTCTGTTGTCTATGAAATTAGAAAAATTATTGTCGTTTTGTGCAAGAGTGGCGTAAGATTATTGTAAAATTTCGTGTTTTCCGTCCCCTTTTTGCTCATTTCTCGGAGGCAAAGTGAGCAAGAACGCTCATTTGTACATCATTCT